ACTCTAACCGTGGTCATCTACATGGGAGTCCAGTGACATAGCCATTATACCAACTGCTGGTCCCAATATACCTATCTTCTCCACTGGATTCCCGGTCACTGACTCCATGTCATCCTCCAATCCTGAGAATGTGAAACCAGTGTCCTTGAAGTTTAGCAGAATGTGAGTCCTCCCATGGTTCTCAGAGTACAACCGATACTTGCCTAGTTATGCCTGCCCACAAGCAATTTTTATTCAACTCAAAGTTATTTTTTGAGAGACTTTTGCTATAGGGCACGTGCACTCACTGGACAGACAGAGACAGAGAGACAGAAAGCAAGAAATCACCCTCCAAGGGTGATGGTCATGCCTCATTTCCTTCTCTTATATTTTCCTCTCAGTATTTTGGGCACACGTGCACAGGCATCTGGCATGAGTATCAAGCCTCCACGACTGGGACTCAAACTGCGGCTGGCCATGTAGGAGTCCAGGGACACAACCATTACACCATCTGCTGGTCCCCCAACTAAGAATTTTGTGTAGAGACTGCAGTTAAGACCCCATGTCTTGTGGTTAGACTGCCTAGGTTCTCTTTATTTATACATATACATATACATATACATATACATATACATATATTTAATTATCTTGTTTATTTTTAAGTTTGCTATAGGGCACATGTGCTCACCAGAGAGACAGATAGAGGGGTGAGCAAGGGGTATGATGGTTAAGGTGATGGGATCCCATATGACTGACCACAGTTTGAATCCCAGACCTGACAGCTTGCTTTCTCTCTCTCTCTCTGGTCAAACTAAAATAATAATAATAAAATAAAATAATTGTTTTTATTTATTTATTTATTTACTTAATTCCATTTGTTATTATTATTATTTAATTTTACCCGACAGAGACAGAGAGAGAGAGACAGAGAAAGTGAAAAAGCAAGCCACCAGGTCTGGGACTCAAATTGTGGTCAGCCATGTGGGAATCCAGCACCTTTAACCACCACGCCACCTGCTGGCCCCGTCTTTATTTTTTTTAAGTGAGAGACAGAAAGAGAAAGAGACAGAAAATGAAAAAGCAAGCCACCAGGTCTAAAATTCGAAGTGTGGTTGGCCATGTGGAGAGTCTAGTGCCTCAACCACCATGCCACTTGCCAGCCCCTGTACCTAATATTTTTTAAAGTTTATTTATTTTATTCATGATAGAGAGTACATGCAAGTGTATGAGAGAGAGAGAAAGAGGGAAAATAAGAAAGCAAGCCACCAGGTCTAAAATTCGAAGTGTGGTTGGCCATGTGGAGAGTCTAGTGCCTCAACCACCATGCCACTTGCCAGCCCCTGTACCTAATATTTTTTAAAGTTTATTTATTTTATTCATGATAGAGAGTACATGCAAGTGTATGAGAGAGAGAGAAAGAGAGAAACAGAGAAGTACTCTTGACAAGTTCTCATCACATTGATCCTTTTCCCCCTGTCCTCCATCTCAAGATCTTGGCATGTATGCGACCAGCATGTTTTAAGTTGATCAGGAGGGGATGTGAACCAGGGTTGTCCATGTGGCTTCCAGCATTACAGCTTACTATGCTAGGACTGCACCAGTGAGGCTGGGCCCTGTCTGGATACTTTTTTTGTATTTTTTAAATTTTGAATCTATATAAGAATTGCTGGGCAGCGATTTGAACCATGGCCACCGCATGGAGATCTAGCTTCTCCTGAATAGCATACTACTACAGTTCCATGGAGCCAGCCCTGTTCTCCATTCTTTGTGGCTGAGCACCAGAGAAGAGAAACACATTTGTCAGTAGGAGGAAGGAAACAGTGCCTTTGTCAGACTCAAGTGACTGTGTGCCTTCTCATCAGTGTTGATGGGTAACAAAAGAGTCCTTCATGTTGGGGACCAAGTGGGCTGCAATTTGGCTAAGCAGCGTCTTCTAGGAGTAGGAGGAGGTAGAAGAGAACCGAGCTAAAATAACCACAGACTCTCATGGTGGAGAAGTGGGGGGGAAAGAAATGCTGATGCTGGCCTAAAGCACTTTCTTTTTGTTGTTGCATGCCACTGCCTCTCACTGTGGCTGCCTGCAGGGTCTGGCTGGCTTGGGAGAAGGCAGCGCAGGGGCTCTGAAAAGCTGAGTCAACAGCATGCAGTATGCAGATCACTAACTTAAAAAAAAAAAAGAATTATTTAATATTTTTAAAAGAAGTATTTTTAAATTATTATTATTATTATTATTAATTTGACCAGAGGGAGACAAACAGAGAGAGGGAGGGAAAGTGAGAAAGCAAGGTCTGGGACCAGAACTGTGGTTGGCCATGTGGGAGTCCAGCACCCCAACCACCACGCCACATGCTGGTCCCAAGAACTATTTAATATTACTTATTATTATTATTGTTCTAATTTGCTAAAGGGCATATGTAATGACCAGAGAGAGAGGGAGAGAAGGAAAGTAAGAACAAGATGCCAGATCCAGGACTTGAACTACAGTTGGCCATGGAGAAGTCCAGCGCCTTAATAACCATGTCACCTGTTGGCCCAATCAGATCACTAACTTTTTTTTTTGAAAGGTTTTCCACTATAGGGTGCGTGCACTCACCAGACAGACAGAGAGAGACAGAGAGACAGAAAGCGAGAAATCACCCCCCAGGGGGGATGGT